GCTTCCTATAGGATTATCTTTAGCCTTAATAGCTTTTATAAGCTTCTTTATACCCTTATTAATATAAAATTAAACTATAAGGTTTTTCCTTAGCCTCTCTTACTTTCTCTTTACTAGTATCTCTTTCTTTTCTTTTACCTTATTACCCTTTATAAGTAGCTTATCTCTCCTAGCCCCCTTAGCCCTTTCTTATAATAGGATTATAGTATTAGAGAGGGCTATAGTATAGGAAAGGGCTATATTATAGGCAAGGACCTCTAGGCCTAGGTTATATTCCCTAATATTCTAAAGGCTTTACTTATTAGCCTCTATATACTATAAGTCCTTATAGTATAGCTTTACTACTATAAAGTAAAACTTAGCTAGGCTATAGGGTATCTTAACTATATAGGTCTCCCTATTAGTAACTAATAGCTTATAAGGGCTATATTATTTACCTTTTTCTCTTTATATATATATATTAGCCTATAGTAATAGCTAATATATTAGTAATATATTAGGGCTATTCTAGGTGCTAAGGGCCTTATAGACCTATCTCTTAGCTAGGTAATAGTAGACTTTATTAGTTACCTTCTAAATTACTTTAGCTTATTAAATAATAGAGATACTTAGTAGTAATTTATTTATTATCTATAGGTAAGCTCTAAAGACTAGTAAGGTTAGTATAAGGCTATTAAGGCTTGCTAAGTTATTAATAGCTTTAATAGCTATCTAGAGTTATTACTTAGGAGTAATCTCTTTACTAATTAAATCTATAATAATATTATAAGCTTAGTAAAGAGATTTATAATATTTTTTAACCTTTCTAATACTATTATAGGCTTTAATAGGTATCTTATTAATATTAATTAATATTAAGTAAGTATAATACCTAAATTTAGCTAAAGTAAAGTTATTACTAGTATTATAAATAATCTAGTCTAAAGGGCCTAGATATATATTAATCTAGCACTCTTTAATTATATCCTAGATATTATAAGCTTTTTACTTCTTAGGGTTAAGGAATTAGGCTACTTAAAATAAGGTTACTAAATTAATAATATAAAGGACTAGTTAGCTATTAATCTATATAATATTAATAATAATCTTATAGTTAAAGTTATAGTTATCTTTAAGGGAGAATTTAAACTAGCTAGGGGCTTTTCTATTTATCTAATAATAGTAATAGACTTTAGTAAGCTTCTTAATTATATAGTATTTAATATTATAACTAGCTTATTAAAGGATCTTTATAAGCTATTAAATTAAGGGATAACTAAACCTTTAGTAAAGTTAATAAATCTCTCCTTTTAATAGGTAAAAAGCAGCGGTTTCTCTTACCTCTAGAAGCTACTAAGGGTAGCCTTATTTACGCATAATAGGTATAGTCTTATTATTTTAAATTAATATATTAGTAAGGTTATTAATCCTAACCTTTATTTTATCTATATTAGTAAGGGAAAAGAGAAAGGGTGTAGTAGTATTAAGGATATAAAAGTTAATTTAGCTAAGCTTTATAAGCATATAGATAATACTATGTGTTATTACTAATCTAGTACTAAAGCAAATAACTTCTAGGTTATAAGGCTTAATTATTAATAATAGCATTAATCTTAGCAGGGCTTTAGCTTATGCTAGACTAGTAGTTAATTAGCCTAAGGCTCCTATATCTAGTATAATTCCTCTAAAGATCTCTTTAGAATAGCGTCCTTTAGAGATATAATAGATTAAATTATCTTTATTAAAAGCCTCTTTAAGGTATAGCTTTTACTTAAGTAAGGTATGTTAAAAAGCTTAATTCTTAAGCGTTATAAGAATATTAATATTATCTATTATTTATAATCCTATATAGAAGAATTATATAATGCTAAGTTATGCTTTTAATAATGGTTTCTTCTTAATATTATTATTACTATTATCTTAGTCCTAAGTAAAGGCCTTAAGCTATATTTCCTAGTCTTTTATTTCCTTTTCCTTATTACTATTATTTCCTTTAAATAAAGTAAGGAATACCTAAAACTTTATCTCTATAGGTAGTAAATAATAGTTCTTACTAGCTTATTACCTCTCTTTCTTTTTCTAATATTTAGCGTTAATATAGTTTAATAACTAGTAGCTACTCTTACTATAGATAAAGCATTACTTAGGTTATCTAGAGTTACTATAATAACCTTCTCTTCCTTAGTCTCTTTAATTCTATTAGCTATATTAGTAGTTTATAAACATTACCTCTAATAGGTCTTTATCTTAATGCTAGTAGTATTAGTTACTCCTTACACTACTCTCTATAATTATAAGTAACTTATAAAGGTTATTAGTAAGGTTCTTAAAGCCTAGTGTATATATATACTCTATTACCTAATATTTAGGAATACTAGAGATTATATTTAATATTTACTTATAGAGCTTTATATTTACTATATTAAAGAGGTATAACCCTTTATAAATCCTTTTTAGGGTAGTTAATATAATCTTAAGGCATTTAGACTTAGTCTTATTAGGGTTCTAAGTAATAATATTCTTAAGAGTTATATTACTTTATTTATATTAGTAAAATTATTAATTACTCTCTATCTTAAAGCATTAATAGATATTTATAATTATCTCTTTATATAAGGGGTTCTTACTAGTAAGGTAATTAAGAAAGTGCTATTTAGTATCTCCTATTAATATAATAGGGAATGCTTTACTAAAATATAACTTAGGGAGGTTAATCTAGTTATACTTACTCTTAAAGAGCGTAAGCTTTAGTAAGAGAAAGTTATATAGCTTTTCACTATAGTAATTACTATCCTTATATATCTTTATAAGCTTAGAGATTTTCTTTATAATTTACTTATTAAAAGGAAAGTATTAGGGAGGGAAATTAAACTATTAAGGGTTAAGCTCCTAATATAACTAAGATTATTATAGGGGTTCTTATAGAGAATATAGTGATTATTCCCTTTAGGAGCTAGGAATATTAGGCAAAGTCTTTATAGTAATAGCCTATAGAGGTTATATTTAAGGTAGTTTAGAGAATCTTAACCTTTCTTCTAGCTAATAAGGTATTAAGGTTTAATAAAGCACTTCTTTAAGTAATACTAGGATTAGATATCCTAGGCCTTATTTAATAAGAACGCTATAATCTTATAGAGAGTTATATAGCTCTCTTATAATATCCTTATTTACTCTTTTAAAGGTATCCTTAAACTAGCCTTTAAAGTCCTCTTAGAATAATTTCTAGAGGTTATTATCTCTCTAGCCCTAATGCTTACTAAGGTTAATAAACCCTATAATATAATTATTAAGCTTAGGCTATATAGTAGTCTTAGGATCTAGCTTATTAGATTCTTTCTAATCTCTTATAAGCTTACTAGTAAGTAATTATAGATATAGTAGGAGTTTATTCTCTTAAGGTCTTTTAAGGATAGTTATCTTTAAAGATACTTATAAGGGTTTAGAGAAAAGGGGTGTGTTTTAGGGAGTGCCCCTTATTATTCTTTTGCCCTCTAGTTCTATCCCTCTAGTAATATTAGTCTTAAATTAATAAGACTAATAAAAACAGGGTAGAAGTGCTATAATTAATATAATAAAGCCTAGAGCTTTGCTTATAAAATAAGCAGGATAAACAGGATAAACAGGATAAATAAGACAGAATAAATAGGATAAATAGAATAGGATAAATAGGATTAGCAGGATTAATAGGATTAACAGGATAAATTAAGGGAAATAATAAAAAACAATAGAAAAAGTGTAAAAGAAGGAAAAATAGTAAAAAAAAGAAAGAATAGGCTGTAAAAATAGCATAGAAGCAGAAGTAACTTAATGCCTAGAATACTAAGGCATAAAAAAGCTATAAAGAGAGAAAAAGGGTTGTAAAGAGAGTATAGAGGGAGGTTATATAGGTTAGCTAGCTTAGCTAAGGGTTGTTTTTAATGTCAGGTTTAAATAAAATACCTTACGGCAATAGATTCGGTTATTTAGTTAGTTTTCTTATAATGGATAATAAGATTAATAATTAACTAAATATCCTAAAGGCCTAAGAGTTAATAGATTAATCTCTTAGAAGTCTAATAAGCCTATTGCTAGGATTCTAGTCTATCTTCCTTTAGCACACTCTATAGTTATGCCTCTCTATATAATAACTGTTAATTTAGCATAATAAGGGGTAGTGGCTATAGTATCTATAGAAATGTCTTTTCTTATAATACCTAACTTATCTATAGTTATAGTTAACTACTAATTAGTGTTAGTTACACTAAGGAATGTTACACTAGTGTAAAGAGGTTAAATTTAATAAAGTTAATAATAATAGCTAATAACTAAGAGAGAAGAGAAGAGGGAGAAGGAGAGGAATCTAGCTAGAAGAGAAGGTAAGTAAAAAGGGGGAAAAGTGGGGCTATAGTGCGGTGCCACTACTAACAGAGCGGGGTAGCTCGCGATGCATTCAATCGCATCGCGTGCATCCCTTCGGTGGCTCCACTCTTTGGCCACGGTCGGACTATCTATCGTCCGAAGGTCCGAAGGAAGCAACAGGTTGTGCGAACAAAGTAATATAGGTTTTCCGAATTGACGTGTATCTTCTATTTGGCCGAGACTTTCTCGTTGCCAGACAGACAGTTATTAGTCCTTCCTCATTTACATTTCTTTGACCAAGAGGTCTTTCCATTGTGGCCGATCGCAAAAAGGTTCATTCATGTATTGCAATGGGTTTGCCAGAACGGCGAGTCGTACGGAGTACGATCGATCCATTTGCGCTTGCGCAAGCCAAGTTTTTAATCCCCTGGAATACATACAGCCTGCAATCAGGGTCAGCCAATAGATTGGGTAATAAATTGTCCTAGGCTGAGCACTGTGACTTTGGACAGAAGAACAGGAAAAAAAAACCACCAAAAAAATATTACTCAACGAATTGCAAAACTGGAAAAGACACATGACAAGAGAAAGCAGCTAAGAAGAAGCGAACGAACCATACCCAAATCGTCCACCGTAACCTAGACCTTGGGCTATTGTTAATGGACCGAAATGGCCAAAAATAACGACACCTGCAGGATTCGAACCTACGCACACGAATGTAATGCCTTTTCACCGCATATCAGATAGCAGGGCATCGCCTTAACCACTCGGCCAAAGTGTCTTATGTGAGAGATCGCTGCATTGTTTTCATATATATTCTTTACCCAAAGAGTGGCATGATTCATCTGGCCACACATTACTTTACCCGTTTCCTTCACATTCAATTTTGGAAGGATGCGCGTTTACAAAGTTTCGTTGTCCAAATACTCCGTAGAGATGCGATGCCCTTCATCGGCGACTTGGCACTCCCTGATGGCCCCTCTCTTGCACGGGTTCTGCTGTGATGCCGACATTTACTCTGTGGTATGTACGGACATAACGTTCTGCCCTCGCTTCGAGAATGGGCCGGCTACGCATTTCGGGACGCGGACCGCTGGCCGAAGGAGGGAACCGAGGAGTTGATCAACAGCAAATGGAAAGGACGTTGCTGACATGGTCGAAATGATCAAGCGAGAATGGAATTGGAGTCCCTTGAAAGAATAAGCTCTTTAAGAACAGGATTGAACGAGGCACAGGCTTGCTTATTCCCTGTTTACATAAAGTAACGAGTAATACAAAGGCTAGATCTCCTTGGACACGGTCCACCTTGTGGAGTCACGTTAACTAGGGTCTGTATGTATCCAATAAGATAAAAGTAAACTAGAGGTACATATAATTTGCGGGCCAGACTCACAAGGTGGACAACAGCTAAGGAGATGTAAAATCAAGCAGGGGTTAGACTATAGATAAAAATAAACTAGAGATACATACAATTTGCGGGTCCTATAGATCCTCCGGCATCCTCGGAGTACGGATTACTCCTCTTTGCAAACGGCATTAATATCCCATGTCAGAACGACGAGCTAGAAAAAGAAGAAAACAAAAAGGGAGTCATCAATTTCTGTACCATGCTCCCTAGGCAGAGGAAGATTGATGTTGACGAAAAGCACGCGAACGGATGGATGGATACATGTCTCAAAGCCTCGGACTACCTCAAAGTGAAAAGACGTGCATCTATCTGGCCAAAGAACTCGTCAGTGGTCACCACCGACTGTGCTGTATTATTACAGGTCGCACCTTGGAGAGGTTCGGCAAAACGCTGCCACATCGAGGGAATCGAAGTAACTCCACATTGCATTGTTGATTTACTAGGCTGCTTGCGGTTGTATATAGGATAAATCCTTCCTTCCTTCCTTCCTTCCTTCCTTTGCGGCCCGATGGCAGCCAAAAGAGTTGCGCCAGAAGAAGAAGGGACGGACAAGGTATTTAAACATGTGCGTTATCCTCGACTTCTCAGCTATTATTCATTTTATCTAACCTCGACGACTCTTAACCACCATTCATAAGCTCAAAGTAGCTGAATCATAGTAAGCTCTCATTGCACCCTCTCTCCGTCTCCCTGCACACAACCCACTAAAGTAAAGGACAGATAAAAAAAAAAAACAATGCGTTTCGCAGCCGTCACCCTCCCCCTTTACACTCTCGCCACCGCCTCCTGGTTCACTCAGCCGATAAATACTGGTGTATGGTGCAACAACTGGCCTAAACAGAATGATGAGGAGCCCTTCTGGGGCGCGTGGACGGCACAGTGCTGCGGTCAGGACGGCAAAATGGACAAAAACCGCGCCTGCCACGGCTTAGGCGGCGAGGGCCAGCTCCAAAAGGATCGCTGCAGAAATTTTTACAAATGCTGCATCCAGAAATTCGGTACCCACAACGTGCTTGATGACAAGTGTTTCTAGGATTGAGAGAGAATGGCTATTGCTTAGTTCACTTTACAATTTGGTACACATGTATTTCCTTTTCTTTTGCAGTCTCAATTAAAGAAATACCATGTTTCCATGTTGTTTAGTTAGTTGCTCCTTTTGAGACCTTGCAGGGGCTTTAGTGTGGAGACGTGATTGGCCCATGCGTCGTAATGTTTCGGCCCGTCCCCAAGAATAGTTACAGGGGTGCACATACATACATACAGTCTAACCCCTAAATGATTTTACACTCGCTACAAGCCTCACGCGGGGCAGTCACCAGAGTATTGCACTACAATTGATTTGTAGTGTATTTTTTATTTAACAAATAATATATATCTAATCTTAGAAAATATGTAGAGATATAAAACTTCTTTTTTTAGATAGATAACTAAAAAACTACAATGTAGTTATATATAAAAGTGGGTCTAAAAGTGGACCCCTTGGCTATAAATTAGAAAAACTACATTTTACTACATTTTAGCACTGGAAATACACTATAAATATAGTTTTTCTAATTTACAGGCAAGGGGCCCACTTTTAGACCCACTTTTATATATCGTATTTTTCTTACGATTTATCTCTATAGGATTACGTATTTTATAGGATAATCTATTTAATTACAAGCTAGCTATAAAATTAAATGTCAAAACTACAAAACACACTACACTAACTACAAACAATACTCTGGCAGTCACTATCAGTTATAAGTGGCTATTTCCTTAAGCGTGCTAAAGCTTGTGGAGTCATGTTAACCAGGGGTCTGTATGTATCTAATTAGATAAAAGTAAACTAGAGATACATACAGACCCTAGTTAGCGTGACTTCATAAGCTTTAGCACGCTCAAGGAGATAGTAAATCTATTAGGGATGCTATAAGGGTATTTACGCTAGTAAAGAATACTAAGTAGTCCTAGTAAAATACATATAATCTAAGGTACCTTTTACCTTACCTAGTGATTTATTATTAGCCTGCTACCCCTAGTATGTACCTCGTGTAAAATCAATCATACAGGGGTTAGACTGTATGTATATCGGTGTCACAGTATGCCTGCTAGCAGGTTCAATGAGTGGACTAGGCAATAGGTATTGTTCTTCTATTCTAGTCTGCCAAAGGAAGGAAAGAAAAGGGGCTAGAAAGAGGGGGCATTCTATGCCGTCTTCCACAGGAGGGGGTCGCGGGCAGCCACGTGACAAGGGGCCACGCTGGTCAACCCACAAGGGAGATCGCGTACGAATCACGATGAATTGTTATCATGCTTGTTCCAGCAGGGCAAGAACATCTCATTCAAAAATAGCCATGAATATTGGTGAGAAAAGGGCCTCATGCAGCGCCTATGACACGGCCGCCATCTCTACATGTATGCCCGACGCAGTGATGACGCTCTCGGACCTTTCCAGTCCGGTTTTGGGAACCAACTCGGGCAGTATCCCGCAGCCGAAATCACGCTCCGGCCAGGCGTTTCTCAAGCTCTGCCAGTACTCAAACTGGATGTTCCTCTGGTCGAAGCCCCCAAAATCGTACGCAGCCATGGTGGAGGCTTCTAGCGATGGATACACCCGGGATGTCAATGCAAAACGATTATTCGCGAAGACTTCAATGATGGAGACGTCCACAAATATTCTCATCTCGAGGTCTTCACCGGGCATGAGCCTCAAACGGCCAATGTCGGAAGAGCTTGCGCCCAGCTGCTTGAGAGATGACTTTGAGCGATCCACGGTGATTGTCTCTTGCCCGAGGTCGAAGATGAGCTTTGTCACTTCTGCGCAGTCGGGTGATTGGAAAATGTTGAAAACAAACTTCTCAGTCCGAGCCAAGCCGGAGAATCTTGCTTTGACCTCAAAGTTCTGTGACGATAGGTGGTTGAATCTGGCAAACGCCTCTGATCCTGCAGTCGGCGCGCCTGCTCGAAGTGTCTCGACTTGAGGTGCTGGTCGTATCCCGAGCGTTGTCATGGTCTCCGAGTCTACATCAATCTTCCATTCGGACCATGATTTCGCCCGATCATCCATAGGTAGCTTGATTTCAATGAGCTCCCGTGGGTGGCCAAGACATCCCGCCCAACCCTGGCCTTGCACAATGTGCTTCTTCGCCGACTCGTCAGCCCAACCCAGCTGCAGCAGGCGGCTTTTCTCGTCTCTGAAGAGATGTGCTGCGTAGAGAATGCCATGGTCGAGTAAATCATGGCTCTCAATGCTGAACGAAGGCAATCCCTGCTCATTGACGACAAACTTGCCTGCCATCCAGAGGACATAGTGCCCGTTATGGCGGGTGCTTTCTTGCGACTCCTCGATTCCAACAATGAGGTAATCTGTTTGATCAATGGTGAAGAAGCTGGCGCATTCGAAATTCATGCCCCATTTCAAGGTGCTGTGACTAGAAACGATGCTATGCAGCTGAACATCCAGTACCGCAGACACATAGGTCCAAGAATCCAAGTTGCCGGATTGGTACAAGTGTAACTGCGGGCCGTGGTCCCGCTCTCCCGAGGAAATCATCATAAAGTCGTGATCGCGGCTCAATCCCAACAAATCGGCGAGTGAGGCGCTCGAAGAGACAAACGGATCCCGCCATCCCGTCGTCGCTGCAGCTTTGGGCGGTCCCTCTATGAGCGGGTTGCTGGCATGTCGCACCCAGGTTCTGCCCAGATCGGTTGATATGGCCACCGACTGCGTCTCGCAGCCCTTGATGTAGGGTTTTGACCAGTGAATGGGAACGGCAGAAACACTTGTATAAAACAGGTAGAGCACTCGCTCGCCGTTATCGGCAAGTCTGGAGACGATTGATCCTGAAAAGACTCCAAAGGAGTCATAATATGATGATGTGCCGCTCCAAATGGCAGGCATGCAATCTGTCCAGGTAACTAGATCCTTGCTCTTTGCCATGCCCCAAGCACGGTTGCCCCCTTCCGTGGTCCCCGGGTTCCATTGGTAACAGAGCAGATATTCCTGAGACTCCGGGACATAGACTGCACCACATGGGTCATTAGACCACGAGTGGGGCGCTATGAAATGTGAAGTTGGTCGATAGCGTGCATAAGCCATGATGTTGTCGTCGTTGTCGTCGTCGTTGTCGTCGTGGTGCTGAGCAGAGGAGCTGGGCGGTAGACCCCGCGGCTGGGTTGCGGTTCGAAAAGCGACAAGGAGGTATGGACAAGGTAGAGGAGCAGATGCCGATGATAAGTGACATTTCTGTCGTCCATGGCTCTTTCGTTATCGTGAGCGCTATCGAAGCCTCGGTCAATGGTGCTGGGCTCGGGAGTCAGCAAAGACTTTTAGAGATTCTCAGAAGAGCCGAAGAACAAAAGATATATGGACGTCGGTCCGATGAGAAACA